ACTCCCACCAGCAGTGGAGGAATGTTCCCCTTTCTCCACATCCTCTCCAGTATAAATTGTCTTCGGTGATTTTGATTTTAGCCATTCTGACAGGAGTAAGATGGTATCTCAGATTTGTTTTGATTTGCATTTCACTGATGGAGAAGGATGTCGATCACTTTCTCAAGTGTCTCTCAGTCATTTTAGATTCCCTGGAAGATTGAGGTGATGGGTGATGGGCAGGTATGGGTTGATCACAGGGGAACCCGAGCTCTCCTGAAGCTGGGGATGCTGGAGGTTAGGGTCTGGAAGGACTGATGCCTTTCCTGTGTGGATGGGTCCTCTGGATGCCAGGAGCGGCCCCTGGAAGATTGAGGGGTTGGGTGATGGGCGGAGGATAGGGGGGTGGTCCCAAGGGGACCCAAACTCTCCTGAAGCTGGTCACGCCGGAGTTTGGAGTCTCCCATGTTGCTCTTTAATAACAGTTTAACTCTGTTTATAGAAGAGTTTTATAGATGTCATTAAATTAGACTTAGTTACACCTGCCTTTTCTGATATTGGACATAGCTCAACATGGACTAGAACAAGAAAAGTTTCAGGAATATAACTTAGATGCTTTTATGCTAACTTGACATAATCTAGGGTCATTTTGGAGGAGAGACTCAAGAAAATTTATGGCCTGTATGCAAGAGTGTAGAATATTTTCTTAATTAGTGGTTGATGTGGGGGCACCCATGGGTGGTCCTAGTCCTAAACGGGTGGACCTTTGATGTAGAAGAAAGTAGGAAGTGGAAAACAGCTGGAGCAAGCCATGGCATTTCCTGAGCCATCCATCAGTTTTCTGCCTCAAGGTTTCTGCCTCAACTTCCCTGGATGATGAACTATAAATAAAATGAAGTAAATCCCTTTCTCTTGAAGTTGATTTTGGTCATAGTGTTTTATCACAGCAATAAAAACTATCACTAATACAGAAGGCAAGAGCTCTTCTTCTAATAAAATGTGCCAGGTTGTGCTAGTGAATGATTTATATGAAGACAAATATGAAATGCATGACTTTGTCTAATTTGATGATATGTTCTCAGTTTTACAATATCTTGGTAGGCTATAGGATGGGATTTGGGAATGCTATGGAAACTTGCATTTTTCAGGTTAGTATAAGCCAAGATGTTTCACTTGCCTTTGGGGAAATGCAAGTCAAAATTCTTGTCAGTGGAAAAATAAAAGGAATGAAGGTGGCACAGAGGGTGAGGTCATATCCATTCACTTGGAACTCATTCAGATCTCTAATGTTCCAGATCATCTGACTGATGTCTGTTTATTCTAGCATGTGTAAATAACCCATAAGGAAATAAGCATTCATTAGTGTTGCTTAATCCTTCCTGTGACCTGAGTTACAGGTGGTCATAAGTGTTCCCTGTTCCTCAGAGCTGGTACGTTTTCTTTGGGGTGATTAAAGAAGACTCCCTATGTTGAACCCCTTTCGTGAAACTTCAATAATTGCCAGGATTGTATGAAATGAAGCAAGAATGGGACTAAAAGGACTTGACAGGCTGGACATGAGGAAGGTCCTGTGATACCCACAAACACCTGCTTTCTCTGCACAAATGGAAAGTCACTCTCCCTATTCTCTGTGCTTGGTCAGCCTAGGAACATGACCCTTTCAGCTTGGGTGGTTGAGGCTGTTAGGAATTCAGAGCCTTGCCCCTCACCCACACTACACAGAAGCTACATTTAGCTACATCCTGGTGGTTTGCACATGTCAAAGTTTGGGAAGTTCTCACCTAGGAATTCATTTATCTCTTTCTCCCACTATGCCATCCACCATGGCATTAACCCATTAGGAAAGCCATACATGGAAGAATACTTTGAACTTGAGGTTAATGTGGTGGGATCCTCCACAGAACCACTGTGTTTCTGAGTGTAGAAAGTACTGAAGGACCTTGCTGAGAAGAACATACTGAAAAAGTAAAGAGTGATCATAGAGTGTAGAGAAATAGACAACATAGAGATGAAAAGAACAATATTTGGTAAAAGAAAAAGTTGTGCCTAAGCCTGTTTGTGTTAAAAAAGAATCTACAGATAGTGATTTGTCAACCATAAACATTTGTGGACCTTGTGCATTGCTAGATCCAGTCACTTTCTCTACTAAAGATTTCTTCCTCTTCTTTGAATTTCTGCCTTGACCCTACCAAGAGTAAAATGATAGACTCTAGATATCCCCTATGTGGAAGGATTTGGCAATAGGGTGGGAGGGAGGGTGGAAGGGGAGTGCGGGAGGAGGGGAGGGAGAGGGAACTGGGATTGACATGTAAAACAAGCTATTTAAAATTAAAATAAAAAATGATTAAAAAAAAAAGATTTCTTCTTCATGTGGATACTGAGCAGAGCCTTGAGGTGGCATTGGAATCTGATAAATGGTAAACAGAATGTGTAAGATTTTATGGCTCACGATAAGGATTATTCAGTTCATTCACCCATAAGTTCATTAATGTTTCAACTCTTTCACTAATCATTGATTAATACTTCACAATAAAATTAAGCTATCATGCATTCTTCCTGCACATATTCACATATTCAAATCACAGAAAGTGCTGGCTAAAAAATATCACCCCCCCCTAAATTTTACAGAAAAGGGCCAAAATCCATGTTTACAATATTAAAATAATGAAAGTTAATGTTTTAAAAATTGTTTAATCTAAAATACTTACAATTCTAAGCAATACAGATAAGAGGTAAAAACATTATCCTCTGATATTAATTAAATGAAGAGGTAGACATAAAAAAGTTTACAGACATGAAAAAGTTTATTTCCCTACCATCTTATTTTATCACAGATTTATTCATTTGTGGTGTTTTCATTCGCTGTGATTGTTTTGATTGCTGTGTCAAGAGTTTCTGTCACTAATGACACACTTAAATTTCATGACATGGGGCATGATCTTTATTCTTCTATGTGTCAATTCTCCAGTTTTCCCAGCACCATTTATTCAGAGGTTGTCTATTCCCCAAAGTACATTTTGTCCTTTCTGTGAAAACAAAATGTTTAGCACTGTTTAGTTTTGAATTGTTTTATCATATCCCATTGTATTTTATTCTATACTTTTATTCTGTTATCTTGTATTATTTGCTTCTATTCTATCCTGTCTTTTGTATTTGTATAACATACATATTATTTTTATTACCATGTCAAGAATAGCTTCAAATCAAATACTGCAATACACATAGTAAATATATAATTGTAGTTTAGAAAATAAAGTGTCAGAGTGTAGTGGTATACATCTTTAGTCTCAGCACTCAAGAAGTAGAGGCAGGAAAATTTCTGTGATTTTTGACCTCAGCCTGAAATACAAAGCAAGTTTCAGACTAGCCATAACTACCTAGTGAAACTGTCTTTACGTAGATAGAAAGAAAGATAAATAGATAGATAGATAGATAGATAGATAGATAGATAGACAGACAGACAGAAAGGCAGGCAGATAGACAGACATATAGACAGGTGGATAATAGGTAAATAGACAAGCAAGCTACTGAAAATCCAGTGCAGATATCCTAACCCTCTCTCCCTCTCTTAAACTGTGGTTCCTTAGTTTCGGTCTCTCCCATTGCATTAAGAATATTGCCTTGTAAGTGCCAATTTCTATGGAATGAATTCAAGAATCTTTCATTCTGTTCCTCTTTGCAAAAGTTTAGTTAGTGAAGCCAGTATTTCCCTGTCATCCTCCTCTTAGGATAGTGCCTCTCCAGCCATCCCAGATATCTTAGCATTCTATGTATGGCTGTTTTCAGCCAAATCAATTTTACACTGACCATGATTAGATAATGCCTTTTGTGTGTTTCTATAACAAAACATGAAAATTGATGTCCATTGTAAAGACAATCATTGTTTTACTTCCTTGTGCCAGAGATTTTAGAATATAATAGGTGCTTGATTTTTGTCAATTCTTAATACCAGGTGGCATCATCAAGGGAATAATACATGCAGAGAACATGTGATCTAGGAATAAAGAGCTGGGGAAAAGCATACTTTATTTTTAATATTATTTATTATTGTTGTTTCATTTTACTATGATTGTGTCTGAGTGTATGATGAGTGTGTATGAGCTTGTGTGCATCGCATGCATGTGCGTGAATGCACGTGAGTGTGCATGTGTGTGTGTATGTGCGTGCGTGCGTGTGTGTGTGTGTCAGAGTATGATTTTTGCAATCAATATCTCCTTCTACATTCACTTAGAATACATAGATAAGACCAAGCTCAGGACAGCTAGAAAGAGGAAACCTCAGTTGAAAAAATGTTTTCATTAGACTGACATGCAGGCAAGTCTGTGGAGCATTTTCTTGATTAAAGATGGAGGTTGGAGGGTCCAGCCCACTGTGGAGATGACATCCTTGGGCAGATGGTCCTGGATGGCATAAGAAAAGACACTGAGGAAGCCATGGGGAGCAAGCAAGTTAGCAAAATTACCACAAAGCCTCTGCTTCAGTTCCTGCTTCCTGCTTCTGCCTTGATTTCCTACCCTAACTTCTGTTAATGATGGACTATGATCAGGACATATAAGCCAAATGAATCATTTTCTCCAAAGTTGTTCTTTGCTACCAAGTTTATCACAGTAAAGAAAGCACACTAGGGCAATAATCATGTGTAGTCCCCAAGCCTTGGTTCCTAATGATTTGCCATGTATGTGTTTTGAATATCTCCCAAAATAGACAGCTTTTTTCCTTAGCTAAATTGCTAAAAACTACTTTCCAAGCCTGACTTTCTTGATGTTTGCAACATTTGTTAGTACACAACTCCATTTACAACAAACGGCAAAAGTATCTGATAAAACTGGGTACACCTGACACTTCAAAGCTGAAGAACTCTCTGATGTTTACCATAATGGACAGTCAGGGCACTGGGAGCTAAGAAACGTTATACCACATGACAAATCACAGACATGCAAAGTTCTGAAGAAATTTTTGGATCATTTCCATCTTGAGAGCTTTTCAAATGTTTGGTTTCTTAGCAAATGTCAGAGTTCACTGCAGTCAAAGCCACTGTCCTTATAGGGATAGTCTTCCAAAGAACATATTCACACAGATAATTACAAAGAGGAATGAACAAGGAGAACTAATATTTCAGTTACACTCCAGAACGCCTAGAGACTTTACATTGGTAACAGTGAGTATGAACTTGTGGTATTGCAAACTTTTTAAAATGTCAACTCATAATTAATATATTCATGAGTGAAGTTCATTCCATTCTAGGTACAGCACAACTCTCATTGAAGTTTGTCCCCATGATTTATTGCACTAAAGTTATTTTATGGAGTGTATCTTTCTTCTTTTCTCCATTGTGCTTTGATATTAATGATTTGTGGGGGAAAAATGCTAGAACACAGAGCAGGGTCTACAGTGTCTGGGCTCCCTATCAACGGGAAAGTGACTAATTTGTATTGAAAATATTATCAGTATTTGTACTTTTCTAAAGGTATGTTTACAAAAAATTTCAGAAGTGTTAGTGGAATATATCTGTGTTAATATTTCTCAAAAGAAATCTGGGTTGGCAGTAGTGGCTAGATAAAGTCTCTCTGAGCCACAAGCTTTAGTTTCATGTGACTGTTCATCCTTCTTTGCTCTCACATACCCCATGTTATGGTCCTTCTATCACTTTTCTTAGCTTTATTCTGTTGTAGTCAAGCTGTGAACTGTTTTGGGTTAACTTATGTAACAGCTTCATTGATTCATTGATGAACCAGATAATGATTCTGTTAAGAGAAGTTCCAAATACCTTTCCATGATATTTTGCAGTAAGCGGCATACAATTATTTAAGCTTCATAAAAAGCTAAGGGGCAGAAAGTAGTTTTTGAACAGTTTGGGTAAATACTTTGAATTTCAGCTGTCTTTCGAAAATTATAGAGGTATTTCTGAGTCTTATAGAATGATAACCTGAATTTACATGGGGCATGTACTATGTCAAGCTAATAACTATTTCCCAGCAGGTCTAAATGTGGTCGCTACTGAAAACAATTTGCTTTGTTCATGTAATTGGAAACATATTTTGTTTGTTGAAATCCAAACCAAAGAATCCTGAAGCCAATATGAATACTGTAAGTTATTCTCATTTATCAACACACTTCAAAGATTTGCTGCCATTCCACTCATTCTTTCCAAATTGTTGCATTCGTGATAATCTGAAATTTCTCTTTACATAAAAATCGTTACTAAATTCTAAAAAGGAAATTTACTGAAGAATTATGAAAGTGTCTAGATGACCAAACAAATGAAAGTCAATGTATTTCCTCTTCCACATTTAGGGTGAGATTATTTCCTACTGGGGCTATAAATGTGAAGTGTATGAGGTTGTGACTGGCGATGGTTACATTCTTTCACTTTACCGGATTCCATGCGGGAAGAATGAGACCATGGATTCGTGTAACAGTAAGTAACAAAAGTACTGAAATTTAAATGCATTCTGTGAAAATCCCTCCATCAGTTACCTCTAATAAGAAGCTCCCAAAGCTCCCTGGATTCTACATGCAAATCAGGAGTATGTGTGATACCTGCCATGCTAGATCCTATTACTACACAAATATGCACCATCTGTCTCACAAACTCAGATTTTGCACAGGATGAAAGCTCAGAATTCCTGCCTAAAAAGCCAAGAACCTCCAAGCACACTGACTCTGCAATGCTTGAGTTACTGCTGTGAGAGTTCACAATATCATTCTAGTTGGTTGCTGCTCCTGGTTCATTCTGACTGTATGTTTGGATGTGTCACAGATGATACTCATGTTCAATGAATTTTTGTTGGAGTTATTTATTGTACATTACCCATATTGCCTTTTGCCTTACATGAGTTTAGACTCTTCACTAGAAAATCATAAAGCTTGAAAATCTTATAAGTTAAAAACCTTAGGGAAGTTCATATGTATTCAATAAGGAGCAGGAAGAAAAATGGGCTCCAATGAGCACAGCGACTATTTTACTCTGAAGAAATTGCATGATATCTATGTATACATCATGAGGATAACCAGCTGTTAACACTTCTATTTTGATTACATCTTCACTGTGGCAAACAAGCCAACAAACAAAAAGACAAGCCTTGTTGCTTTTAATCACAGCACTGGGGAGGCAAAAGCAGGCAGATCTGTGTGAATTCGAGGCCACCCTGGTTGACATATCAAGCTCCAGGCCACCCAGATCTATACATCGAGACAGTATCACGAGACACAATCAAACAAGCAAAAACACTAGCCAGAAACCATAACAAAACCCCCCAAATCCAACAGTACTATGATGAGTGAAAATATTATCAAATATTTCCTAATAAGAAAATAGATGTCAAAGAGGATAACAAAGGATGCAAATATGAGAAAACTGCAATGATATACATGTATAAAATACAATGAGTTCCGTTATTTTATGTTCGTAAAAATCAATAATAACAAATGTTTTCTTTTAAGCCCCAAAGACAGCAGTATATTTGCAGCATGGGTTGACTCTGTCTGCTTCTGCTTGGATTCTCAACCCTCCCAATAGCAGCCTGGGCTTCCTTCTGGCAGATGCTCATTTTGATGTGTGGATGGGGAACAGCAGAGGCAATAATTATGCCAGGAAACACATGTCCCTAGACCCAAATTCTAAAGCATTCTGGGATTTTAGGTAAGAGGATTTTGGTATACTTTTCTTAAAACTCTATTTACCGTTTTTAAGTTGTCACAAATTTACTCAACCTGACTAAAATAACTTCATTAAAATGTCTAATAGCCGGGCAGTGGTGGCGCACACCTTTAATCCCAGCACTCGGGAGGCAAAGGCAGGCCGATCTCTGTAAGTTTGAGGCCAGGCTGGACCAACAGCCTCCAAAACAATACAGAGAAACCCTGTCTCGAAAAACCAAAAAAAAAGTCATAATAATATTTTGAACTCTTACAATTTACTTAATTTACTTTTTTTGTATTTAAGTATTTTATTTTTTTTTATTTTATCATTTTTTTAATTTTAAATAGCTTGTTTTACATGTCAATCCCAGTTCCCTCTCCCTCCCCTCCTCCTGCACTCCCCTTCCCCTCTACCCTCCCACCCTATTGCCAAATCCTTCCACATAGGGGATATCAGAGTCTGTCATTTTACTCTGGGTAGGGTCCAGGCACTGCCTAAGAGTCCAGGCTGAGAGAGCATCCCTCTTTGTGCTATAGGCACACGAAGACTGTTTGTATATCAGGGATAGACACTGATCCACAGCTCAGGGCCCCATAGGTTGCCCAGGCCTTCTCGCTGACACTCACATTTGGGGGGGTCCAGATCAGTCCCATGCTGGCCTCCCCACTGTCAGTCTGGGGTCCAAGAGCTCTCCCCTGTTCAGATCAGCTGTCTCTGCTGGTTTTGCCAGCCCATTCTTTGCCAATTTGCTCATCACTCCTCTCTCTCTGTCACTGGGTTCCTTAGGTTCAGTTCAGTGATTAATTGTGTGTTTGCCTCTGCTTCCATCAGTCACAGGATGAAGGCTCCCGGATGGTTATAGACATCAAGTTATCTGTGTGTATGTGTATGTATGTGTGTTTACATATGTGTGTATGCATGTGTGTGCATGTGGTGTGTATGTTATGTGTGTGTATGTATGTATGTATGTGTATGCGTATATGTGTGTATATGTGTCTGTGTATATATGTGTGTATGTGTGTGTGTGCGGGTGTGTGTGACTGTGTATGTACAGGAGCCCAGTGGTCCCAGGATTTGCATCCATTCCCCCTAGAGCTGGAGTTTAGATATCTGTGAAATGTTATTCAGACAAGTAAGTCTCCTGAAGAACCAAGGCATCAACAGAGCCTTGAATGAATGACATTTTAAAAGGTTGATAGGTAAATGTTTGTCTAAAATTTTATATGATTAGTTTAGTTTTAGTTTAATATAAAAGTAAAATTTAATATCATATATCTCCTTACTTGTAGCTACTAATCACTTTGCTATTTTGTCTCCTTCTTTTAGGAAATATTTCTTTGAGGTATATTTGAATAGAAAAAATGTTCATATTTTGTGTATACAATTTCATGAGTATAGACTTAAATTCTAATCATCTATAATTTTGTTTTTTACTTCTGTTGAGGCTTTTATTATTATGAAACAAAAACAGGGAATGAATAAAAGATACAAAATATACAAGGTTCATTTCTATCACAAAATTTCAGAAAATCTTTGAGAAACCTCTTCCTGTTTTCATTTTTGAAAATCCTCTAAATTTATTGATCATTTTAACATTTCTTACACACAAATAAAGACTAGTCATACATACATACATATATATCATGGGTATCTGGTATATTATCTTATAAATTCAGGTATAGAACAAATGCATTTAGAGATATAGTCAGTCACTTAATGAGCTCTGATCCTTGGCTCTGTACAAAGTGCCAAACAAAAGATCATTTCAAGGCATTGTGAGCATTGTAGGAAATAGGCATGTGATGGGTGAGCATGATGGGGCGTATGCAGTTGATATTTGATCAGTGTTATCTCAGTGCCCATGCATCCCTTTGGAAATATTTTCAAGTCAGGGCTTCCCCTCAAAAGATAATATTCAGCTATTATAATTAACCAAACTCTTTAATTTCTGTTTTATACAGTTTTGATGAACAAATAAAATTCGACATTCCAGCCATTATTGATTTCATTGTGAACAAGACGGGACAGACACAAATCTACTATGTTGGTCATTCCCAGGGCACATTTCTTGGTATGCTGAGAGAGAATAAAATCTGCCATCATGTAATTTTTAATTGTAAACCACATAAGCATTCTCTGGAAATAATTTTATTTATAGAAATGACATTTTGTTAGTATTTAAAAACATTCAAACTAGCCAAAAAATTAAATTCATTTGTTGCACTGGTTTGATTTGCTAACAGATGGCCACGTTTGTTGTTGTTTGGCACGGAGTGTTGCTGTGTAATCTGACTGGTTCCACCATGCAAGCCTCTGACTCCACTTCTCAAATGGTGTGATTACAGGCATGAGTGACTGCACTTGGCTAATCTTCAAAATAACAGAATAATAGACACAATTATTATCTGCTTTTTAAAATCATCATTTTAAAGATATGAGATATGTGAACAATGCAAAATGTGATAGAGTCACTTGGAATTCTTAGCACTTTTCAAAAATAGGCTTAATATATTGTTTTGATGTCTTTTACTAATTTCTTAAAGGAAGATTGATTTGTATATACTGTTTAGGAAAAGTCTTGTTCATTTGGTTACTGTGAGCAGTTCATTCTGAGGTCCCAGTAAGCAGTATTTTACTGGACTGATCTGAGGCATGCTAATTTACATAATGTGAATACAATAAAAATGCATGCTCCCAAACCTTATACTACCTGGAAAAAACATTTCTAATCAATTTTCATGCCAGTGGTTTGAAAATAGTCTTCTGCCTGCTTGGGTACTTTGCTGGCTGTTAGCTACAATCCACATAGTACACTAAAGAAATCTACTTCTCCCAAAACTCACAGTCCATTGAGGAAAGGATCAATACCACAGACCTTCATATTTACTGGGCCACATGTTTTCTCTTGAGGATGTCTTTGTAGGATATTCATTCTATAATGCTAATTGGTATCCAGAGTGTCTACTAGCTAGATGGGTGTAAATGGATCTCCTCATTTCCCTTGACTTGTCACAAGCAAAATTGTCTTCACTTGTTAATAATGTTCCCTAATAACAAAGAAATCCTTATTGAAGAACTACTGCAAAAATGGTAGTCTTAAACTATAATTTGATTATTGTGTTTGTGTACACATACACAGGCCCTGGGGTTGGAGGAACAGACAATTAAGAAGTTATAAATATCATTCTCCAGCCACAGAAGAGAGCATATCCAACTATTAGAGAAGATTTTAATGATAAAAAACTAAGTTGAAATTTAATGTCTTTATCTAAAGACAGGCTACTCAGTCCTTCTAACCAATTATCAAAATGTGAAGTTGTATACAAGTCTTCCATGCAAACCAATTTCAGTATGATCAAAAGGAAAATATTTAAAAGATCAATGTAATAGAAATGTTACCTTCTAGATTCCAAAATTGTAGAAGACATTAATTAATTTTATTTATTTATTTTGTTAATGAAATGTATTCGTTTATTTTACATCACAGCCACAGTTTTCCCACCTTCCTCTACTCTCATTCCCTTTCCCCACCAGTACCCCCAACTACTGTTACTGACCAGAGAAGGGCAGGACTCCCATGGGTGTTAACAAAGAAAGGCATATCAAGTTGAGGAAGGACTAAGCTTCTCTACTTGTATTGAGTCTGGGCAAGGCAACTCAGTATGATGAAGAAGTTTCGTGAAGCCAGGGAACCCACAGAAGGAACCCACAGAAACAACTAACCTAGGCTCATAGGAGCTTGCAGACTCTGTATGGACAGCTAGGGAGCCTGCATGAATCTGACCCAGGACTTCTACATATGTGTGCCACTGGTGTAGCTTGATCTACTTGTGAGACTCCTAGTGATGGGTACAGGGCTTGTCCCCAGTGCTCTGGCTGATTTGTCACTCTTTGTGTTTGTGTGTGTGTGTGTGTGTGTGTGTGTGTGTGTGTGTGTAATAATATAACACACTAAGTTATTGAATGTCTAGTTAAGCAAACAAAACCTTTCACAGTGACAGTTAAAATGTAATTTAAAGGAAGTATCCTAGTGGTGTGCTTCCAGGTGAATCAGAATTACCTAAGCAAAGTTTCACATATATGACAAAGAATACGCTTAGAGTCTCTGTTGCGATTAAAAATTACATGGAACTTGGAACCAAGAGAGAATAGGAAAAAGTGATCTATTCTCTTTTTTTCTTTCAGCTTATGGGGCATTTGCAACAAACCCACAGCTGGCCCAAAAAATCAAAGCCAACCTTGCCCTGGGCCCTGTTGTGACTACCAAGTATCTGTCAGGTGCCTTTCGAACAGTTGCATACATTCACCCAACAGTGATCAAGGTTTGTAATACTTTCTAGGACTCCCTCAGAAATAGAAGTTGGCTACAGTTCTCGGAAATACAAATGGTACCCAGCTAAAGACCAGAGATGCTGAGGCAATTCCATGCTGCCTGTCTCCTCAGGGTCTTTGTAACCACACACAGCTCTATAGCAGATACTGTATGTCACAGGTTGCCAGGCATTGTTATCTACCAGTGGATCAAGGATTTTTTTCTTTTTACCCATCTATTTTTCATTTCTGCTGAAACCTTTATTAATACATTTTATCATACAAATGTGCTATTTGCATTTGTTTTTAAAATTTTCTATCATATCTGGTTTTCAGACTGAAATTTCAATAGAGTGAATGGGATTTTTTCCCCTTTTAACTTCTCTTTCTTTCCATAGCCTTATCTGTAACATTCAGCTTTCCCTGTTGTTTTAAAATTTATTTTAATCACATCTTATACAGAAGGCTGAAATATATTAATTATGAATGCTTTGTTTACCAGAACACTACTGATCACATTTTTTTTGTATTCTTGCCATAGTTTGTCTCTTTATAGTGAGTCATCTAACTGACATTGAGTTAGAATTTGTTTGGTTTTTACGTGTAATTGCATAATGGCCAGTGACTCAGGATCATTTCATTTATGCAGAGAGTTGCACCTGACTCTTCTTAATAACTTTCTGATATTTTTATTTAATGCATTGACATAGATATACCCTGAAAAACAGATAAAATTGCCAGCTGTTCTTTTCTAATAATGACAATGGTTAACAGCCTTCAATCAAGGATATTAAAAACAGGGAAAATGACTTTCTTTTAATATTATTATTATTTATTTAAATTAGCAACTGCATGAGGAGCCAAATTTCAACATTAGGAGTTTTCTGGCTTAGTCTTGTCTTTTGAGACAGCATTTCTCAGCAAACTCGGCACTCACCAATTGGCTGGACTCATTGGCCATTGAGCTGAGGATCTGCCTGGCTCTTTTGACTCTGTGCTTGGGTAACAGACATACACCTGGCTTTTGGGATGCTGAGGAGCTGAACTCATGCTCTCATGCAGCATGCCCTTCCTCAGCTGAATAATCCAGCCCCATGCAGTGTTTTATAGTTCTGGTTTGCAAAGAATGTCAATAACAAACAGATATTCAATGTGGTTGATACGTATTCTCTTTACTGTAGCCAAAAAATGTGTTATTTGTCTTTGGTTGTTCTCATGACACCAATCTAAAAGATGTTTTACTGACAAATTTAGTAAATTTCATTCTATTCAAAAAAGAGAATGGTATTCTGTTTTACCTCTGTATGAATGTTAGAAACCAGTTGCATTATGTGTTATTTTATCAAGTTCCTCTGTTCATAGTCATTTGGGGCTTTTATACCTTACTTTCTAGGTAGCTTTTACAATTGTTTTGTGAAGTCATACTTTTTTTAATAATTTAACTTTGACAGAATCTGTTGTCATGTACTGGGCTGGTAAGTATGTAGAGGTTCTTGGAGCTGTGCCTGTTAACCTGAGTTCAAACCCTGAGACCCACTTGAAGGAAGGAAACACCTGACTCCTGACATGTGTCCTCTGAATTCCACACATGCACCGTGGCATAAAAAATGTTTTAAAATATTCTTAAGTGTCAAGTACTATAGATATTTTTTTCATTATCTAACTTATGCAGTAATTACTTTTCATAGTGTGTCACATGTCTAATTTTAAACATTAGTTTCTTCATTAGTTAGATACATTTATGGCTGACATAAATTAAAAGACATTTATTGCAGATGTAAATGAAAAGCCGTAATTCTCTCTCATTTAAATAATGACATAGGTAATCTCCATCACCTCAAATAATTCATTATTTATGAAAGTGTTTGTTCTGGAGCAGAAAAGAACTATTTAAGGGCATACCACTTAGGAGGCAGAAGATGTTATAGTGAACAAAACCGTATAAATTTATCAGTATATTGAAATGTTGCAATGCAACTCAAACTCCTTCTGTCATTGCTTCTTACTGGACAGTTGTCTCAGAACCATTATTTAAATATGTCATTTTCAGAAATTGATTGGAGAAAAGGATATAATGACCGGGAAAGATGATAATCATATCCTTCAGTTAATTTGCCATCAGCAGACAATCGTAACTGTTTGTAATAATTTACTTACAGTGCTATTTGGATATAACCCCAAGAATTTAAATGAGGTATGTGTAATTTTTGTCTTCGGGTCAGTGTTTTTTGATACTGCTAATGATACCATCCTCTTACTAGGTAAACATTAAAAATTCAAACTACTTGATTGTAGAATATAGAACAACTTAACTGACATAATATTTATAGCTCATTGTACAAAATTTGGCATAGTTTGCATATAATTTCTGAAGTTAATAATATGACCATAAAATCCAACTGTATTATGTATGAATGAAGTAATGTTTTTCTCTGATTTCTTTTCAATAATCACATTAAGATTAAGACTTCTTTCCAGAAATAGTTTATCTCCATTGCATACTATCATATAAAACAAAAATACTTAACTTCTTTGCTATGGTCAAAATCCAGTCTTTCCTTTCAATTGATTCAGGGAATATTTGATCATAAAAGTCACACAGTTCTGCAATACTATTTTAAACTTTCATACTCTTAGGAAGACACTAACCATGTTTTACTGTTTACCAGAGCCGTACTGATGTTTATGCTGGACACATTCCGGAAGGAACTTCAGTTAGGAGTATACTTCATTTTTCTCAGGTAAACCTTTTCTGCATTTCAATTCCTTTTCTCTTTTGTTTGAAATCTTCCTTCCTTGATGGGATGTTCAATACTCTATCTTGATGATGATGATGAGAGTAGATAGTAACAATGATTGTTTCTGATGCCAAGAGGACAAACACTGCTCTTTGGGGAAATGTTAATTGTGAAAAGGAATTTTTCCATCCTCATGTCTTCTAAGCAGTAAATTTTATCTTAAAACTTGAAAATTTTCGCCGGGCAGTGGTGGCGCACGCCTTTAATCCCAGCACTCGGGAGGCAGAGGCAGGCGGATCTCTGTGAGTTCGAGGCCGGGCTGGACCGATAGCCTCCGAAACAATACAGAGAAACCCTGTCTCGTAAAAACCAAAAAAAAAAAAAAAAAACTTGAAAATTTTCTTGGTGATCTCATGAACCTGGCCTCCAGAAGCCTTTAGCCATAGAGGGTAGAGATGAATGAACATTGTGTTTTTTAAAGAAGAAAATATATTTAAACTTAAAAACATAGAAAACTAGTATAAACCTTGTTTACAAAAAATTAATACTGTTTTACAAGTATCATGTATTAATGAAAAGTAGAAGTTTTATGTGCCTTTGAGTGAAAGCATAGATTGTGAGATATTTCCTTCATTCATTTTAAGATCTCCATGACAACAAAGTAGAATTAAGATGAAAATGGCCTTATCCTACTATGGCCATTGTCAATACATATGATAGTACCTATGATCAAGATGTATATCCTCTCATTTGGAATTTTTCTTCATTCATGGGTATTTGTTTTTTTTAAATTCATGTCTGAGCTGTATTCTTCAGTTGGCTCTGGACTCACTGGTATGAAGTTTCTGTATCTATTGGGCAATAGCCATAAGTGTGACATGTGTCAGATTTTAACAGGTATCTCACACTCTTACCTTGACTGGAGAAATCTGGTAACCACATCTCTGTAGTTCCAGAATTTTAGCACTATAAAAAGTCAGTGTACACATGTCTGAAGACTAGATTGCTATGAAGCACTCATCCCTCATTATTTTTACAGAGCTAAAGCAATTGGGTTTTCAACAAAAAGTACTATTACTTGACAAAATTCCTTCATCATGGAAATCATTGGAAATATTTTATACAAAATAAATTCTAAGTGAATGCAGAATAGTTCAATTCTAATTTATTTCTGATAGAAATAATACTTTGTGACAGGTGTTGAACTCAAATAAATTTTATTTTTAAAAAGCTTTCCTGTAGCCATCAAAATATTACCTTATTTCTTAATATATAACTTTATTGGTGTGCGTTTAGATAATTTAAAAGATGTGTGTGTCTGTGTGCATGTGTGTGTGTGTGTGTGTGTGTGTGTGTGTGTATGTGTGTGTACCTGTGTGAATGTTCTTGGATAATGGTGGACAGGTGTGTGTCAGTTTCTTGGAGAATGGATTCGCTTGCCTGTGGATAATAGAGAACATCCCTCATGTTCTCCTCTCCTCTTCTCTCCTCCTCTTTCTCCCACCCTCCTTGTTTCTTAGATTCTCTGAAAGTGTGGATTGTAGGCTGGTAATCTTTTGCTCTATATCTAATATCAATATATGAGCGAGTACACACCATGTCTTTTTGTGACTGGGTTACCTCACTCAGGATGGTTTCTTCTAGTTCCATCCATTCATTTACCAGCAAATTTCAAGATTCAATTGCCACTGAGTAGTACTCCATTGTGTAAATGTACCACATTTTCTTTATCCATTCGGTTGAGGGGCATCTAGGTTGCTTCTAGGATCCAGTTATAATTTTGTAAAATACTCTTCAAATTACTAATTTTCTTAATTATATCATATCTTTGCTTGACTGATTCAGAATTTATGCATATGTTTCAGTTTGCATTTGTCCAGGATTACATGATGTGATCATAGAGTTACAGTGCACATATATGTGGTTATATTGAATCTGACCCAATGGGTCACATGAAAAGGGATTGACACAGATATCCTTAATTCTTAGTAATTTGATATTGGAAGTTTTTGTAAGCAACAGCCTATTTTGACTTAAAGGGAATCAGAACGGGATTAGTCCAAGCTTATAACTGGGGCAGCGAAGCTCTAAACATGCAGCATTACAATCAGGTAAGTCTCCTTTTACTAACTGTAGTGATTCCTCCCTTTTTTGGAAAATGTATGAAAGATCCAAAGAAATGATTATTTCTTAAAAGATTGCTGAATATTTTTTTTACTTCCCAAGATATTAGTAGACGGAGGCCATAGATTAGCTTTAAAAGATTGGAAATACTTCTTTTCATAGCATTTTACATAGAAATATACATATCTATAGGTTATCTATAGTAATAGAAATCAATTATCTATAGAAATAGAATATAGCTTATCTATAGCTAGAGTAAAAAATATTTCTATAGCTTATCATCTGAACTTTACTACAACCTTACAACCTTTCAGATGGTTATTAATATCATCTCAACCATAAAGAATGTAAATTTCACAGGATTTCTAGTTTGATAAAATTATGTATGCTATATGATACTTTACCAGTAGTTCATTCCCGCCTTGACAAATGTTAAGAGTTCATAAATGTTGCCTTTGATCTCATGTATATAATCACTGAGTTGATTCAAGGTTAGAATTTAAATGTTACAGTTCCTTCTTTGATATGTTATAAATATAAGCATTCTGTTCTTCATTTTCTTTTAGTCTACTCCTCCAATATACAAGTTGGAGAACATGAAGGTTCAAACTGTCATATGGAGTGGTGGAAAGGATATTCTGGCAAATCACATAGATGTTAAAAACTTGGTAGCTAAAACCTACAATCTAGTTTATCACAAGAAGATTGATGACTATAATCATGTGGATTTCATAATTGGTAAAGATGTTACTGTAAAAGTTTATAAAAATTTAATTGAATTTATCAGAAAAGATCAATCAAAATGAAGTTTACAGCATTTTTCTGCTTATTTTGAAGAGTACTATGCTTTTTCCTTAATGAAAAGCATTTCTTGATTTCCTCTTTTTTTTAATGATCTTTGATGTAGTCCAACTCTCCTACCTTGCTCTGTAGACCAGGTTGGCTTCTAACTCAGAGAGTCTCCTGCCTCTACCTCCTGAGTGCTGGGATTAAAATGCATATGCCACCACAGACAGGCATAATCTTTGATTTTTAATCCTTGTATAATTTATATAAATTGTTTACATATATAAGGAAAGCATGAAATCTAATAAAATGTTCAATTCATCTTGGAAACTTTTCTAATTTATGCAATTTGAGAACAGGGCTAAATTTTATGTGAAATAATATTCCACAATAGTGACACAGGAAAAGGACACAAGATGTGTCTCTGGTGGATGCTGACTACAAAAATGCCTCTCATATTCATAGTGATTTCTTTCACTATTTATTATAAAATAAAATGTGGGGATAAACATTAAAGATAAAACCTGAGATAATTACAAGTAGCCATGACACATACCTTCAATGTCCATTTTGCAGCTCAAAAAGGCTCTGCAACCCCTTGACTTCACATCATTCTCTTCTCAAGGCCTTTCTTTTTCTTTTCCTGAGTCTTCCAGGGAACTCCATGTCCATTTCAGCTAGCTGAATGGGAATACTGCCTCTCAGCAGTTTATTTCATTGGATATCAAAACATAGATGAAGTTCTTTTAACACTTCCCCCTTTTGTCTAATAAAGAAAGAGTTCTATGTTTTATTTATTATGTACACAGTAAGTGTTCTGCTTACACATATGTCAGCTCGCCAGAAGAGGGCACCAGATCTCACTTAGATGGTTGTGAGCCACCGTGTGGTTGCTGGGAATTGAACTCAGGACCTCTGGAAGAGAAAGCAGTGCTCTTAACCTCTGAGCCATCACTCCAGCCCAAGAAAGAGTTCTAACTCTAAAGTAAAACTATATACAATAAAAATTATCATCATGTGTTTTCTAAATAGAGAGAAAAGTTATTAACCTTAACAAAAGAAACTATAACTATACAACAAGAGCATTTATCAAGTTATAAATACATTCACAATGTCTAGTCAGTTTGTACTTGACAAATTACAGAAAATACTCCATCATCTGTCCTCTTCTGAAGAGTCCAAACTTTTATACCTAATTCATTTTCTAGCATGATTAAGGAAAACTATAACTGTAAATATCTACTCTTTAACCTCATCAAAGACTTGGGAAGAATGTATTACCTGAGCAAACAGGTGTTGCAGAGCAAGCAATTTCCAAAATTATAAGAAGTATCTGGCTGCCTGTATAGTCACCCTAGGTTCCTATGTGATGTTGGGGAATCCAGCTTCAACCTACAGTCCTAGAATATCTGACAGACATTTCTGGGAGGCAGGAAATTTTGAAGGACTTACCATGTTTTTGGAAAGTATGTCAGTTCCTTTTCTTTGTGTCCTGTTTGTCCAGTTTGGACAGCATACTGTCAACAGTTAAGGCAAGATGTTTCTTGCCCAAATGGCAAGCTTTTGCCACAAAGAAAGTAAGCTCCAATATGGAAATTCTTTGATGCTCATCAGCCTTTTTTGAGGTATATCAGAGCTACCAGGAACAGGTATGTCTCACAGTCTAAAAAGTCTTATGTTATTAAATCATATTATAAGCCATATTCTGCAGCTCTTTGAAGTGTTTGAAGATTATGTATCTATCTAAAACATATCACTGTGTGACCATGAAAACACACCTAACATGACTATAAGTTTGATGGCTATGGATGGCTAACTATTAACCTGTATTTCTTTATTATCCTACATAGTTTTTAAGGACCAAAACTTTATATTACATAATTAAATGAGCTGCATAGGTAAAATATCTTAGACAAAAATAGAAATTCATGTGCAGTATGACAAAATAACCTTAAATATGTGTCAACATACACAAATATCTCAAACAAGAGTAAAAACATATATATATATAACATAACAAAAAACTTTAAATTTTTATCAATATACCAAAATCCATAGTAATGCAAACTTTTTTATATTAATAACTGCTTTAGGGATTAAAGTAGTCCACCCTTTTCCTATCATTCCTATATTCCCCATTTTTTTCTTTTCAGAAAATGGATCACTGAATCTAGCCTTTGAATAATATTTTCTTGAACATCACCAGTAACTGCTTGCTACCAATCCCCCTAAACAATGGCAAACATCCATAAATTTACTGAATGATCAAAAAATGTCTGCCCCACCTCATGGGAATGTGGACATACTGTTTTTTAGACTGTTTCCTGCAGATTTGGGGTGCTGGAATCTTTATAGGATCCTGAGAAAATGTAGATAATGGTGAAGTCCTGGGGAATCCACCTGTTTTTCAGGCTTGGTATGATGAGAAAATGCAAGTCTATCTGAAGTTCTGGATGGAGTAGTCTAAGAGATTGGACCATATTAAATAACCATTTTGAAATTGTCTGGATCAATTTGTAGTCCGCAGTTGATCTTTGGATGACATTTTTCAGATTAGTGGTGTTACCACAATCCCAGTGTAATGGTCATTGTGGGACCCCATCATCTTTTGGATATTTCAAAAGTCAGTGATAGGAATGTTCATCATTCACTGTGGAAAACTCATATTAAATGTCATATACAGCAGATATAAGAGAGGTTAAAGAACATGACCTATTAAATATACCCAGGATACACAGTCTTAATTTCTAAACACTTGCTTTAGACTCAAGTCTAAAATCACACACTGAAAGCTACATGAAGACTAAAGTTAGAATTACTTAGTACTCTATATGACCATCAATATCAAAGCAGATTTTTAAATTTGAGATAATAGTTATACCTCAATAAAAGCTGTCACGACAAAATAAATCCTAGGGATATAACATCAATGATACTCTCTAGATTTTGTTTTTCTTCTGTCTCATACCAGATGGCTCTTCTGACATAAGTCAGAGATTTTGGATTTTATTTTAACAAACATGCTTGGGTTTAGAGAAGGAGACAGCTACACTTCAACTCCAAAACCAGCTTTAGTTGTTAATTGAGTTGGGACTATATAAAATGCACATGCCTAACACATATGTAGAGAATAGGAAAACAGTTTGAAAGATTTATGAAATGTTATCCTGTTGGAAATATGCCATACCATTAGGTCAATTTCCTTCTTTTCTTAGGACATTTTTTTCCAGATGGTTCACCCATCTTTTTCAGATGCCTCATTTTTCCAAAGGTCTTCAGATTCCTTCATTGGCTGTTTTTATTCTCTTGGAAAGACAAAAAGAAAACCAGGCCCAACTTTAACTTTGGGGAGGTTTTCCTTTTTCCAGTTTGAATTGTCATGCTGCTTCATGAACCATTGTGTCTCTAATCAAAAGGTCTCTCACGTTTGAATTGAATCTTTAGAACTTTGATAGTATCCAAATCTTTTCTTCTCCTGTGGAAACAAAAGCAAAACCTCTTTCCCAATGTAACACACACTATGGTTTTCATTCTGGAGTCATCACATCTGTAAAGTATACAGGATGATTTAGTTCAACAGTTTTTTCTAGTATCCAATGTTTCCTTGAAGCTGGTATTCTCTTTACAATAGCATTTGGAAATTTTAAGGTTAATAAAGCATGGCACAATTTATCACTCATGGTCATTGGTACCCCTTACTGTTGATTAATCATTTCATTTAAAGTGTGATTAGATGTTTCTAAAAGTTATTGCCCTTTAAGATTGTGTGTTATTTCTGTAATATGCTTTATGTTGCAATATGTAAAAAACTGTTGTATTTTACGACAGATACATGCTGGACCATTGTCTTTCTTAATTTGTACAATTATTCCCATAATGTCCATAACCTCTAATAAGAATATTACAGGTATACCACATAATCCTAGAGGGCAAGCAGTTATAGAAAGATCTAACTGAACTCTAAACAAAATATGCTTAATAAACAGAAAGAGGTAGTAGAGACCACTAGAAATAGATTGCATCCTGATTTAATAAACTTTAAATTTTCTAAATGTTAATGAAAAAGAAACAACTGTAGAGATGCATCAGATAATAGAGAAAGCTGCTGAATTAAATCAGCCTGTATACTTCAGATGTATGTTGACTACAGAATGGAAACCAGAATATGTGTTACTTTGAGGAAGAGGTTTTGCTTTTGTTTCCATGGGAGAAGAAAAGCTATGGATGCCATCAAAATTGTTAAATATTAGATGCAAACAAGAAAGACTTCTTGATTAGAAAAGGTGATAGTTCATCAAACAGTATAACCATTTAATTTCAACTAACCTATAAGACTAACAAATGTTTTCATTTTACCAGATATAACTTGTCAAAAGGGAAACTCCCCAAAGTTAGAACTTGGGCAGGATTGTGATTTTCTCATTCCAAGAGAATGAAGGCATCCAACTAAGTAATTTGGAGACCACTGGACAAATGAGACATCTGAAGAAAAATATCCCAAGAAAAAGAGTAAATTGGTCTATTGAAGGTATATCACACCTCCAACAGGATAGTAAATAGTCTTTCAGTTATAAGGGTTATGAGACCAGTTCCAGCCCCTACCAAAGGTGAAATGCTTCTCAGGAGCATAGGAGAGTATTAAAGATTCTATAGTAACATCTTACACAGTCTGAGGCTCATGTTCTTTATTTCATGTGCTCTTTATTCTTCTGTTTCTACTCTAATAATCCTGTCCTACTTCTAACTTTTCCATGCTTCTTCTTCTAGCCTCTTCTTTTACTTTTTATTTTTATTCTTTTTTATTTTATATTTAAATTAAAAACAATCTTGTTTCACATATCAATCCCAGCTCACTCTCACTCCCCCCCCACCTACCTCTCCACAATTCTCTCCCAGCCCCCCACCCAATCCCCACTCCTTTCGCCAGGGAGATTAAGGCACTCCATATGGGATCTCTAGAGTCTGTCATTTCATTAAGGGCATGGCCTAGGGCCTTCACCAAGTGTTCAGGTTGAGAAAGCATCTCTCATTGTGGGATGGGCACGTAAGGTCCATTTGTGTGCCAGGCATACATATTGATCTACTACCCAAAGCCCCATAGATTGCCTAGGCCTCCTCACTGACACACACATTCAGGGGGTCTGGATCAGTCCAATGCTGGCCTCTCAGCCATCAGTCTGGGGTCCAAGATCTCCTCCTTGTTCAGGTCAACTGTTTCTCTGGGTTTTACCAGTCCAGTATTGACCCCTTTGCTCATCACTGCTCCCTCTCTGTCACTGGGTTCCAGGAGTTCAGTTCAGTGTTTAGCTGTGGGTGTCTGTCTCTACTCC